GTTTTGGGCAGTTAGGGTTAAGATATTTTTTGATACTGTTTAAATGTGCAGTCCCTTTGTGCATGATCTGGTTGAATTTGCCTATACACAATGTATTTTTCTCCAAGGTCTACATTTTAAACTTTGTTCTCTGGGCTCCGAATTTTTAAGGTGGGGACTAATAAAATATTGAAATGGGGGAGGGAGGAAAGCCTTAGCACAGGCTTTAGGGTCTACTTCACGGACCCCCATGCCATTTTCAAGTCACATCACAAATTCTGTAACTGCAGCCACTACGTTTTAATAACTTGGCACCAGGCAACGCCTTTAAAATTACTTCTTGTTTAAAAAATTTTGAATAAGGTGACATCATCGTCATGGCAAGAAGGCGAAGGCGGGTGGCAAAGACCAAGCGACAGACCAACTCTACTCACACAGAATCCAACGGGGAAGGCATTGGCATGGGGTCAAAGGTCACAATGATACCCACCAAGGGGTCGGAGGAGCACCTAAGGGTGAGTGAAGCTGTTGTCTTTTCCCGGTTTTTTTTTGGGGGGGGGAGGGTGTTGCTATTTGTTTCCTTTCTCTTTTTAATAGCGGCCAGGGCTCAGCAGAGACTGGAACTGAATTTCTTCATTTAGCAAAATTTGTGGTTTCTGCGGTGCGCAGGAACAAGAGAGGGCATGTTATTTACATAGCAGTGACAGTCTATTGGTGGCAACTCACCGTGTGCGCGCACAGGTTTATGCGTGCACCTTTGGGGTGGATTGCACTGAATATGTGCAACCAATTTCTTTTTGAATGTATGGCCATCTTGTGTGCGTGCAAGGCGCGTGCCACGCTTCCCACCAACCTGTCTTTTCCTTGCTGGTTAGGGTGTCCTTCAAATCAAGATGGATAGATAGATATTACTTGTCTGAAATTAGTTCTTTGATAAATATATTTCAGTTGTAGATACTGTATAAAAATATGAATATGGTATGTAGAGATTCTCTTGTAGTATATGAATCTAAAGATATGTTACCATTCAAAAATTTCTTTTTGGTAACAGAATTATAACAGCATTCTGTGCTTATTTGCAAAACCTGGTTTTGAGTGAACACGTAACTAATCAGTTTTAAGTTTGTGCACAGTATTTAATCTTACTCACATTTTCCAGTGCATACATGTACATGTATGAGGAGAGCTCTACATGTACATGTAAATGTATATGTACCGAGGTACGAAAGTGTATTTAATTTCATTTAAATTCAGTTGTGGTTTCCCTTGCACATCAGACTGCGCACGTGCATTTATGACCGATCTGTATGTACAGGGATGTTATGAATCCTAATATCCACCAGGAATCAATTCTCTTGATTCCAACCCCTGAAGCCTTTTTCTTGTGCCACCCCCCCTCCTGCCTATGATGTATTCTCCTTGTCAGCCGGTCTGTTATACATGTAACTGTCCCCACATTAAGCCGCTGGTTCGCTCCCGGCCTTATTTACATTTGCTTGTCCCCAGGACAACTGCTCATTTCCAATGCAGCGCGTCCGCCGGTGGTATTAATTATTATTTTTTCCTCTTGTTCTTACCTGCGTGTGATATACTTATGATGTGCAAATGACAATTCACCTACAAATGTACATGTACAGCTGGCTGGTGAAAAAAAATTTTCCCAATAGATGATCGAACATGCCTGAAAAATTAGAGAATTTGTTGGGTTTTTTAAGTGAGATTTTCACTTGTCTGAAATTGATCAGCAATTGCATTCAGAAGACAACTTGGTAAGGCCAATGTGAATCAAAAGTGGTGTTGCAATCAAAGAAAAGTGTAGTTGGGTAAATATGACTTTTCCTCTGGATTTTCTTGTTTCATCCGTTTTTATTCAGTTTCACTCAAGATTTGTGCTTTTATTTGCATTCTGATTGTTGCCCATGGACCATCTTACATTTCCTTCGTTGGCATTCAGGAAAAAAAAATGAGACAAAACAGCTTAAAAGCTCCACATCAGTCACCTGTCTAATTTTGTCACGTTCCCTAACAAGTACAGTTAAGATTTATCTCAGAAACATTGGTAAAAAGGAAACCACCATACTCTGTTGTATGTACACGTCATGTGCATACATGAACCAGTAACTGCACCTGTACATGTAAATCCCCGTATTATTTTCAGTCGCCTGCTGATGTGTTGTAGTACTAATGAAAAATGGCAATAAAGTATTCAGGCCTATCCACTGTATACATTCTGGTTGCCATCGTGGAAGATGGACAGACCGGAAAATGTCACTTTAGGCCTCGCCATTGGCTCTGTAAAATAGGCTGCCACCGAGGCATGCACAATCCATTATTCAGGATTAGTGAACATTTTTTCCATGTCCATTAGGTGAGCGTCATGTATGGTACATACTTTTATTTCATGCGCGCTGAGTGATAAAGAAGTTGTTGTTAATTAATTTAAATATTGAAATGTCCATGAGGGTCTTATGTATTTTCAGCCATAATCAGAATCGTAACTATTGGTCTCTATTCACATACTAGTATATATCTCAGCATGAAAATTGCTTTAGAGTTTAGACAGAACATGCAGGATTCATCATTCATTTTAGTATTTATCTTGGAAATTAAAATGAGAAGACTGATTCTTTTTTTTGTTTGAGTTGATTTGAATGATGGAAACATACATGTACATATACACCGACTGTCATATTAAAATTTTTTGCATGTACATGTTCATGTAGGTCAGCATGTTACATGTACATGTAATTCAACCATCATTTGAATGAACAAATCAGTGAAACAAAAAAGATCTTTGTTGAATGTTCAAAGAGAATGGAATTGAAGCTGAGCTGATTACTGCAGTGTGAATTCATTACCAGAGCCCTGTCTACTTTGTGGGTCATCTACATGTACTGCACAGTATTACGTCAGGGCAGTGAGGAGATGAAAGATGTCAATTGGTAAGCAGGTGCGAGACTCACTGCAAATCGCAACTTTCCACACTGATGGGATGGTGAATTATTTCCCAAGGACGTGGCAGGCGCCTGTTATTTGTGCGTGTTTGAGGATTGGTTTCCATCATGAAATGCAACAGGCAAACGCTGTGGCTTGTGTGGAAAGCATGCAAAAGCACTGAACCGGTGAGAAGTCAGACATGTAATTGTTCCGTGTGAGTTTATGCAGTGGGAAAAGGACATGTGACTTTTTACATTAGTGGAGCTAAGCATTTTGAACCTTGAAAATACCGCGTGCATCAAGACTTTGAAAATCAGTACTAGCTATGTTGGACTTTGCATTTTTACCATCATAGTTTAAGTACATGTATTATTTGATTTTGGAGGGGTACCCCTGACTTCTTAGGTTCAGTGTAAATCATATACTGGTACGTGTGGAATTTTCGAAGATTTGGGATGGCCCAGGTAAAAATTAAGGTGATTTGGGGGGTTTGGAAGTAATTTTACAGTGAGATCTTAAGGAGGGGACATTTTCATGACTTGTAAGTTACACAGTTCCACTTAAAGATTATTTGCGTGTCCAGTTTTAAATCATAAAGGGATCAGCTCCAGACTATCTGTGTGAACTACTCAGTGTTAGAATCAAGTACATTCACTCTGCGTTTGACAACCTCAGGTGCAATTGGTTTACAACAGTCACTAGGCATGACTAAATACTGAGGTAACGGTTGCTTCACAATAAACCTTTTGCAAATTAAACCGGAATGAAATGGTGGTCGCTATGCAAAATCTTGTCCCGAATCATTATCACGAGGTACCGATATAGCAACAGTGCCTTTAGTGTGAGGAATTCAAATTGTTATGTTTATGTGCACTCAGATAACTCAGTGTACCAGATTTTATTGACATTGAACTTGCGAAAGGCTTATTTGTGTCCCTTGTCTGTAATCTCCACATACCAATGGAAAGTCGATCTGAAGACTCTCTAGACATTTTTGAAACTCGCTTGAAAATACATCAGTTTAAACAGTACTTTTCTTCATGGGTGGTTTAAATTTCTTGTCATTTGTTAATCTCTTGTTTTGTTGTACTTTTAATTAATTTGTAAAATGTTGTAATTGTACAGTGCTTTCAGATGTCTGTGACATGGAAAGCGTTTCAAAATATCTATTCTTATTATTTAATAAAGTAAAGCCTGTTTTGTGTGAGGCTGTGGTGATTTTTCCCTGTTGGTGAATTATATTTATTCCATTCATTCTAGATAGACAAAACAAGACCTATGCGTGTGTGTGGTTTTTGTCATCCTTTTGTGCTGTTCTGTTCAAATGTGTAGGGGTTTCATCTCTCCTTTTCACCCTGCGGACTCATCTCCTCTTTAAAGACTCTAATATGGTCTGCCCCCTTGGTGAGTGTGGTCTAGCCCAACCTTTCTTGACTTTGCGTTAGTGTGAGGGGTATACCATTTGATTTCGGGTGTGTTCTGATTGGGAAGGGTTTATGTTGGTAATCACTAATTACATACAATATTTGTGTGTACGGCACTGTACACAATCAATGCACAAATTATGTGAGCTTAAGCACATACATGTACTGTTTTTAATCAGTCTTGTGTCACATTTCAGTTTATTGCAGTGTGCACTTGTATTAAATAGATGTAGGGGTTTTTCTCTGAAACTAACCTTTAATGAACAGCATTTGCACCTGCACTATGTATTGATTTGGATGATAAGGAGATTGAGGAAATATGTGTACGTCACATCAAATGCGTGCATGTGTGGGCAGAATACAGGTGTGTGTACTGATACTTGCAGGGTAAATTAATGTGGATTATATTAATTCACCCAGTTAACTGGTTAATGTGTTTTACCCACATTAGCACTTGGTTTGGTCGCTGCTAACTGCCGTCATCAAACCGCTGATAAATATTAATCAATGTACGAATTCAGTTAGCTGTTTGAGGATGATTTGTGTTAATTACTGAGCAGTTTTGAATTGTATTGAGTGCTACTAAATATGTAAATCCGTGTCTCTGACTATACATGTACCTAAAGTGCTCTGTTCATGTAATATGAAACCGTAGGATTTACATGTACATGTATGTATAAGCAGTGATCCATGTGCACTGTATGTACATGCACATGTTCATGTACAGCACCAGTACATGTAGGTAATGCCTAATTACTCAAGATTTTTTACCAAAGACGCAAATAATTGGATGTTCTTCAGATTTTTGAACTCGTACAAGTTTACACAGGATGTGGAAAGACTCACCCACAAGCTCATTGCTTCAGGGATAGCTGTACATGATTATGGAATATATTCCTATATAAGTCGTTCCATGGAAATAATGTACCGGTGCAGGTACTTGTATGAACAACAAATGTACCTACTTCCAATTCTTGACTCACATTGTTCTCTTCTCATGCCTTCCCCCCTTATGTTCTGGGCCCGGTGCATTAGCCACTGTCAAGATAATGGGCTCACAGCGACGGAAGCTCGTTGCATAGTAGCCACTGTTGCTGTCATTTGCTCGTCAGATTATAGCCTGTTATTCAGCTTGGTTACCGCTGATGTTAGACTTGTAGTCTCAACGAGCCCTCGGACGTCAAATTCGCTGGACGTCAAGTTATGTGAAGAATGGCAGTGTGTATACATGTGCACATGTTGGTATTGGTCCGTGCAGACAGTAATATTGTGCAGGTGTGCGTTGGTCGACATTCTGTTTAGGTTGTCTGATTGCCCACAGGAATGTCATTTTAATGGCTGGAAGGGCAAATGTTATCATTAACCTTTCTTTACACAATTACACATGTACAAGCACCTGCAAATGTTTTGAGTGTGCATGTTTTTAAATACCGGTACTTGTACATTTATACAAATAACAGTATAAATGTACATGTACATACATGTACATGTACATACATGTACATACATGTACAGTATCACACATTCATCATTCACCTTTGGTTGCAAAGGTGCCGTTGGAAATCGTAATTTGCATACCTTTTTTAACTGGTTAATGACAGAAATACCGGTAACTTGGAATCATAGTTCAGCAGTTGTTTATACAATTCGTAATGTCGGCATCAAAAAGGAAACAGTAGAGGAGGTGTATTTTTAACCCTAACAGTCCCAAATCCTCCAATTTCATATGATTTTACATACACCCTTGGGGGTTAGGGTTGTTGTCAATCCTGTGTGCTGCTTTACAACTAGACTTGCTGTGTGTTTTATAATCATGCGTTTATAGGTCATTTTACGTAGAAGTTCACCTTACAGATTTTGGTATGGGATTTGAATATTATCGGTATGTGTACGTTCATAGCTGGTGTGCAGTGTCGGTGTACTAGCAGTCACTGCAAACTACTGGGTACTGTCTGAAAATTTTGCTTCGTGCACAGATGAACACAGATCCAATCATGTTACTTGCATTAATACCAAGCGTATGAAAATAAGTTTGCTGTCGCCCTTTAGCCAACGCAACAGTTCCCCAGGTCCCTGGTGGGGTTCTGTCATGACAGCAAGGTTTCATTATCCCCGGCAAGGCCTCCAGTAAAAATACGCATGACCCACATATAGTCTCCCCCCCTCCTCTTGTACACGTACTGACAGACGGTCATGTGTTTGTGGTCCCCACCCACAATCGACCAAATGGTTCTTATGAGTCATACTCCCGTTGTCTTACGTGTCCTGGCTGTGTGCTGCGTTCATTCCGACCAAAATGGATTACTATGCGGGGAGCTTGTGTGCATGCGCTTCCTACATGTATGTGCATAGTGCCATTTTAGTTTTACCACAAAACCACATTGGTACATGTATGTTGCAGTCCATAGTGTGCCGTCTACGTTGTGTCACCGCAATACTACGTGTACATGTACACTGTACATGTATATTTACATGTACAGTGTTTCCTTTAATATCAAAACTGTATTTGAAAGTTCTGTCTCCACCACTGAAGCTGCTTGCAAAAAGTGGCGGCCTGCTTTTGTGTTCAGTTGATGTCATCTGCATCGTCTTTTCTGTTGAATTAATTTCACCCCACAATTTATTTCAAGGCCATTGGAAGCTGCAAGTAAGATTTGCAGCGGGCCAAACATGGTGGAGAATTCATTTTGTCTTGTGGACATGTATTTTGCATCTCTTTTTCAGCGAAAAAAGTGGTTTTCTTCCAGGGCTGAATGCATTTCCAAACTGTTATTCCTTCAACTGCATCCCTTCTCTTCTGAATCTTTTTTCTAAATGTCATCGCCGTTAAAAAGATTATCACTTGCCGTGCACCTGTCTCAGGTTTCACTTCTCTTGAGTGTGCTCGTACATGTACATTGTATATTGTATTCATACTCATTTCTGTACTAGACAGGCATCACAAGTGTAAGCCACTTTGTTACTTGCCAGGCTACAGAAAGTACTTGAATTTTGACTTTGTCATGGAGGAGGTCTTCCCAAAAGCGTCAGGTTTCACCATGGAATACTAATTGCAGATACTGATGATGAAATGGTACTCTGTTGTTGATGCACTTTAGCCAATATGAAATCTCTGTGTATCAGCACGTACAGGTTGTATCATTTTTTCATGTACCGGTAGAAACACACCCCTCCCCCAGCTATTTTATGAACTACATGTAGTCTTTCAAAAGCGATAAATCCCTTGGGGTTTCTAAAAGTGGTTTTGTTTGATGATGGAAAAGCAAAATTGCACTGGCTAAGAAGCCCAATGCAACAGTGCATGGTGTGGCTGCTGCAATGTACTCTACATGTAGGTACATGTACATGTACATGTACCGGTATTCTACAGGGTGTCATAGAGACACATTTTGGTACAGTGTAAGTTACCAGGACTGTGTAAGTTGTAACCAGGACATTGTTGTAAAATGAGTAGAAAACAGGCAAAAATGAAAGAATTCAAGAACCGAGGATATTTTGCAGAATTTGCTCTTGATAACAATATTCTGTCATGACATTGTTCTTTATATTGAGAGCTGACTGTATCTGATATGTAAACATACGTAATATGTTCACCTTTCCGAGGGAGGAGGAAGGGAGCCATTTTTGGGGGGCGGGGGGAAGGAGGGAGGTTCAGGGTTTGGACATGGTTCAGAAAAATTAACTATGACCACCTTAGCTTCCAGTTATTTTCTCGGTCTCTTTAATTCGGTTTTCCAAATATTTATTACAGCCATAAAGGACCATAATTAACTGCATGAAGTGTGAACATCTCATTTGTGATGCTCTTATTGTAGAGATATTTGTACATGTTGTACTTGTAAATTGATTTCAAAATATACAGTGAGTGTCAAACTTACATTCTCAGAGGACCATTAAGGGAGTTTGCAATCCTTAGTTGTAAGAATGGCTGTTCCAAAGAAGGTGAACGAAACGGGTAGACTTTTTAAACTTGTCAGAACCAAAACTCATTGGGGGTGTTGCCTTGTTTGTTGAACTCAGTACCAAAAAGAAGGGAGTGATCGTGGATTTCTTAGCTGCAGTATTTTGCCAGTACCTTGGATCATTTGAGGATCCACGCATTTCACTTCGACCGAGGCCTTTTAAGAGCATGCTCAAATTTGTCATAATTGCATGCTTCCAGTCATGTCAGGAAAAACACAAACTGCTGTCGTTACTGCTTGCTTGTAGCACAGCGAGGTGGGAAAAACAATCACAGTCAAGTTAGATCGTTGGCGTTTTTCCAGGATTTTGAAAAAAGTCAAAAGGATGTGAATCAAATCAGAGCTATGGTTGACCTCACACCTCAAGCAGTGGACTACTTGGGCCAGATTTTGTGTGCTCAGTCTGTTGTCTGAAATTTTGTTGTCTATCTGAAAGACTTTGACGTTTACTGGTTTGCCAAAAAATTGGCATCAAGCAGGTGTGTAAGATAACAATCTTCTGCTCATGCCTCATGGAGAAAGATCATAACCATCCTTGCATTCTTGCGATGTGACAAATTTCACAAGGATTTGAAGAGATTTGACATATTTCTTCCAAAGTACTTCCAATTTTACTGAAGTGTGCTAGGGACTAGCCCCATGCACACACACTTGTACCGATGTCTCTGTTGTCAGTAGCCTCTCTTTATGCAGTGCCTGAAAACATCCCTAGTCATCAGATTTGAGGATCTTACATCATGTGCTGTTAAATTATTCATTGTAGTGCAAAGCAGTCACAGTTGAGCTTCAAAAGAAAAGTCCGACATGTAAGGTTAAATGGAAGTTCCATTGCTCAGTCACATGAGATTTCTCAACTCAAACATGCAGGAGATCCAAGGATTTATTCAGGCAGATATTTATCCAGGATTTATCTGGGGATGGAAAGGTTTATTTGGGTACTTGTACAAAACAAATTTAATTGTGTTGCATTTGCCCATTCGAAAATTTCACCAAGCTTTGCCTGAATAGGACTGTTTTGTTTTTCTTACCATTCGGTATTTGCACAGTGTAACATGTTTCCATTCTTCTCACATTACACCAAAAGTTTCCATTGCACATCTTTTTTCTTTAATGTTCAAACAGAGGCTTCGGGTCTGAAAAACGGTGAAATCTTGCCAAACAGTAACTAACTTCAGCACATTTATTCATGGGAAGCTCTTTCAAATGCACTGTTCAGTTTTAATCCTTATTTTTTCCGCTGTCGCCTGACAACTTGGTGTTTTTCACACCAGTACAGGCGTCTGTCTGCTAATCGTTTCAATTTTTTTCCCCCTGTTGAAGGGGACGACATTCTTCAAGTACTCCTGGGGTTTCTTGCACGCTCGAATCTGGCGCCATGTCATTCATATTCACTGACAAATCCTGCGTGTTTTGATATCCTTGTCTTTTTTTTTCCTTTACATCAGCAACAGTCGGATATTCCGTGCAAGCGGAAGCGGGAATTGGCAGACGACAACTCCCCGTTCATCACGTCAACGCCGGTCCCCAAACCGAAGAGAACAAAAACGGAGCCAGCAGTTGATGAGTGCAACAACAATACAAGTAAGTCCAGCCACCAGATCCCATCACTTACCTTTTTTTTTGTTTGATCAGTTATCCAGACTACAAATGTTTTTGAAATCAAGCATTTAGAGGCGAAATTAATGAAATCAGAAAGGGAAAATTTAATTATTTGCAGACAAAATTGCTGTCTAAAGCATATTTCACAGTGTTGTAAATAAGCTCAACTACATGTGTATGCCCAAATATAAGGCCCAAGAACTATTGTTCCTTTTTTCCCTTACTTTGGTATAACCAAACATTCAAATATCCGGTGGAATGGAAGGTCGAATGTTGGAATATTCAATTACTTAAATAAATCTTATTCACAGGGAAACCATTTCTGATCATGTTCCCAGAACCTTTCTTATAATTCACCATTTTCCGGACAATTAGGTGGTGCCAGACTACATGTAGTTTGGGTTCCCTGCATCCTTTCATTTTTTCAAAATCTGGCTTGAAACATATTTAACATTATTCGTCAGAATGAATGGCATTAATTTGTAATGACTTTTATTTCATTGCTTTCAATTTCATTACCAGATTCCAAATTGAAAACAGTTCACCTCACTTTCAATTCAATATAGCTGACTTGTGAATGAGGCCAGTTGACCCAGGCATAATTTCTTTCCGTGTGGCAATCTTTTTTTTAGTATGATACACAGGTTCCTCACCCTGAATTTATAATATTCCTCGTGTTCCATTTCTATCTCTGTTTGCACTTCTATTTGCATTGAAAACTTTTAAAGCTGAAAGAAGGACAACCAACTGGGGTGTTGAATGCATTGTATGTCAGAGTGTGTAATGACAGTCAAATGCTTGATTGTTTTCTTGAGGCTCTCCCACGTTGTACCTGCACATTCTGCTGAGAGAGCACAACTCTCAGTCCTCGTAGTTCCAAGCAAATTGAGCACAAAGTCAAGTGCTTGTTTCTCTCCCCTCTTCACCCACATTTTCTGGCTTGCTGCAGTTCCGAAGAATGCAATGGCAGCAAAGTCGGCTCAGGATTTTGACAGCCCTCCCCGGACGTCCCTGCTGGGCACGCTGTTCAGCCCAGTTTACCAGTTTCTTCGTAACGGTAAGCAGGTCTTCTGTTCTGTCCTCTCTTAAACTAAAGCCAGATGTGAAATGGTATCCTATCTCGGACACATTTTTGTTTCACCATGTAATGACAACGATTTTTGTGGTATTTTAATGTCAGCATTTATGTTTATGATGTAGAAATATAATTTTTCAAAGTTCAGGTGCTTAACAAGTCACGGGGGATTCTGTTCTGCTGGACACGAGCAGCAACAGAGGCCCTCCTGGACTGGATTAAAGAGACACCAGTTGACATGTTGACTACCATCCATGAAACTATCCCTGGGTTCCTATCCCTAGGGTGAAGTGGCCTTTGCCACTGCGAGTATTCTTTTGGTATACACTACAGCCAGATTGGAGAACAGTATTCTCTGTCATTGTTGTGTTCACTTTCTCAGCTCAACAGAAATAAAAGTAACAAAAAAATATGCTCGCACGGGTACTTTGCTTGGCAAAGGGGGCTCCCTGTGTACATGTATGTATCATCGGCAGTCAACATGTTGCATGTAATTGCTGAAAATACCAAAGGAACTTTCTGTTGAAATGGTTTGCAAATGTGCACTACCTGAAGCCATCTAATCCGTGTCTGAGCCAAGCTGAGTCCAAAACAAGCCGAGTCACAAGTCCCAAAAAATTGGACTCGAGTCCGAACTCGAGTCCGAGTCTGGACTCGAATCCTCCATCACTGCCTGAAGCTGGACATGGTGAATGTCATTTTATGCAAAAGGACTCTGCACATTCTGGCCGTTAACACTTTATCATTGTGTGGGACCTCCATTGTAAACCCTTTGCCAGGCATGACAGCTGAAAACAAGGAGAACCTGCCCAAAGTGGCCGAGCGGCCTGGCCTGGACTCTGTCTCAGCGGACTCTGTGTGCCAGGAGGCAGCTGTTCCTAGAATGCCTCCGTCTGACGCAGTGACAACTGGTGCCGAGTTACCGGCTGGTGTAGCGTCGATAGCTGAAGGGACCATGCCAGTGGCAAATGACACTGACGATGACGAGGAGGAAGAGGAGGAAGAAGAGGAAGAAGACGACGAACAGCTGGAGGAGAAGACCATGACAGGTCAGGACAAAAGGGATGGGAGTCTTAGGAGTGCATTGTTGGATAACAGTGTTGCATAACAAGGACAGTTGACATCTGTGACATTGAGTGACAAGGCGTGAATGTGTCGTACTACTTTGGCTCTAAATCCTTGAAAATTTCTTCAAAAGTTCCACTCGCTCTCAAAACTTGGGTAATAAATCATTTCTGGCCTAATATCAGCTGGAAGTAAAAGTCCTCCATAGTGGGTGTGTCCTTCCTCCACTAGTTCATGTTCATCCACCAAAACAAGGGGCCAGAACGGCAAAGTGGACAGACACTCCTTTTGTCTCCTTGATTTGCCAGGGTCTCCATTACAAAATATACAGATTTTATTCCAGAGGCAATTAAAATACTGCTTACTGTGAACACAGAGGAGAAACACATTAAAGACACAAAAAAACACTTCATCAACCTCTATGTTAAGAATATATGCCAGAGGATTTTGCATTTGGGAAAGACTCTTCACAGGTCAGACTGGAAACCAACTTTTTCATTTGCATATTTCAGGTTGCATCAGCTAGCAATTTGTAGCGTTTTAAAAATTTTTCACATGAGGGAGACTGCTTGAAAAGTTAGTGGGTGCTTGTGTGTTTGACATTTGGATTTAAGTTGCAGAGCCGCACAGGTTGAATGGAAATTCTAAGGGGGTCTACAAGTTAACTTTAGAGGCCATTTTATCTACTTTCCGGTGCTGACATATACCATCAGATGACAGGCAATAAGGTTTGACATTTTGTGTCAACAAAATACCCCCCTCCCCCTGACAAGTAGTCCTAGTTTCCTCGTTTTTTCCCCTGTTGGGCTCTGGGGAAAATCAAAGTTTTTTTCTTTTTCTATGTCCGTCCAGATTCGAACCATAATGAGATGATGCCCTGCTCGCTATCTGCCTGCAACACATACGTGGACGATGACGGCCTTGATGCCGATTACGCACTGGATGAGTGGGAAACCTTTGATCCGTGAGTATTCAAAAAATTACATGAATTACTTATTATGTGTTATGGCCATAAAGCAGAAATGACTACTGTTTAACGCCTAACAGTTCGGAAGTGATCAAACGACTCAGGAAAAACACTTTTAAGTCATGCGAAACCCTAAAGTACAACCACTCTCTTTAAAGTGAAGCAAAAGTTGTGGAAAATTGGAGCCTGAGAGATCATCCACAGTTTCGTGGGATTTTGTGTCCCTTTAAAAGTTCATGTACCCGCAAAGAGTTCGGTACGTGCTTCCTGCACAGTTTAAAGATCATTGAGACTTCATGAAGGCTCCTCCCCAAAAAAGCCTTAGGATAGAAGGTTAAATCGAGTGAAACTTAGTTGGTCTAGGCTGCTTGCACTGTATGTTTTCTCGGAGGTTAGATGGGAAGGTGCTTCCAGTGGATAGGCACCTATGGCTGCAAACATCAATGCAGCACACAGGGCACCTTTAAAATTGATTTTATAATTCTGGCACTCCAGTCTCTAATTGGCAACATCCTATCCCGTCCATTTTTCTTCCTGAGTAGGCATTAGATTCTGATGAGGTTGCGACCTCTGTGAGCTACCGGCAGAGCCCATGCGACCTCCGACGTTCGTACCGTTTGGCAAAAAAAAAGGAGGAAAAAAAAAGAACAAGAAAAAAAAAAGAGCAGCCTGTTCTTATCACATCTATCCTCCCTCGGTTCAACCTCATCAGCAACTGTTACACAGTGACACACTTTCAAGCTCTTCCTACAAACTAGCGGATGTGTGCATTTCACTTGGCATCCTAATGGCCAGAAAAACACGGGGACCCTGAGAGGAAAATGGAAGGAGAAAAAATGGGGAGGGGGGGGAGAAGAGGCTCTAAACCCTTATGAAAATAGACGCGGGGATATTTAGCCAAGCTAATGTATTGTTGTTAAAAAGAACAAACCCTGTGATGGATGGGCTTTTTGGGGGGGGGTGACATGCACAAGTCATTTCCTGTTTTGTGTTTGGAAGTTTGGCGACCCACATCTGCAGCCGCACGATGCTTTTCGCCGGCTCGGATGTTGTGCAGATAATTACCTCACCGGATAATTTGTGGGTGTGCAGTGTGCATGTAGGATTTTGAATTGTGTGTGTGACTCATCGCATGCATTTTTGCGCTGGACATGTTTGGCACTGATTATTCATAGGACGCATTTGGTGTTCGATTCTAGTTGTTTTTTCAGACGTCCACATTTCTGTCGTGTGGCTGTTTAGTACTTAGAATGCTGTTCAAGTCTTTTTAACTACATGCCCTGACAGTCTGTGTATGCAATTTTTGGCTCAGATGTGCTCAGTCAATTGTTAGTGTCATGAGATGCTGAGTCCAATGTGCATGCAGTTTAAAGGGGCCATG